CCCGCACGGGGACCGCCCTGCCCCGCACAGGGACCGCCCTGCCCCGCACAGGGACCGACCGCCCTGCCCCGCACGGGGACCGCCCTGTCTCCGCACAGAGACCGCCTGCCCTGCCCCGCACAGGGACCGCCCTGTCCCCGCACAGGGACCGCCCTGTCCCCGCACAGGGACCGCCCTGGCCCCTCACAGGGACCGCCCTGCCCCGCACAGGGACCGCTCTGCCCCGCACAGGGATCGCCCTGTCCCGCACAGGGACCGACCGCCCTGTCTCCGCACAGAGACCGCCTGCCCTGCCCCGCACAGGGACCGCCCTGTCCCCGCACAGGGACCGACCGCCCTGTCTCCGCACAGGGACTGCCCTGGCCCCTCACAGGGACCGCCCTGTCCCCGCACAGGGACCGCCCTGCCCCTCACAGGGACCGCCCTGTCCCGCACAGGGACCGCCCTGTCCCCGCACAGGGACCGCCCTGTCCCCGCACAGGGACCGCGTCCCCTCCCCTCCCTTCGTCTCCCGCAGTCGCGTTCCCACCGTGCCTCCGTGGGCTGCGCGGGTGTTTCAGTGCCCGTGACTGCATCAAGGCGGGAGCATTTCCCACGGAGCCCAGGACCCTGCGAGACAGCCGGCAGCCTCTCTAACATAACTGTAACAGGGTGAGGCATCCCGGTGCCGGAAGCTTGGCAGGGAGTTCGCTCACCCTCGTGGCCCCAGCGGTAGCAGCGGTTCCACACGGCTTTTCCCGGGTTTCTCGCGTGTCCGTGCAGCGTGTCCGGAGCCGGCGCCAGCGCCTGAGCTGAGCCCTGAGCACAGCTGGGCCACAGGGCGCAGCACCAGGAGCGGGGCTCAGCACAGAGTGGGTTGTGCTACTGAGGTAGACAAAAGTACCAAAGACTTCCTTGGTTAAAACATATAAACTCAAAGCACAGAAAGGAATGAGAAGTAATTTTTATATCAGTGCTATTTTAACTAGTATGATATGTACTATAAAAGGCTTTGCTAATGACTTTTTAATAGTTATTTTCCCATTATAATAGCAATTTGCAATATGTCACATTGGCACACCACTGATCTTAGGAAGTAAAAAGGGAGGGAGGGATAACAGTCTGTGCCTACCCAGAATTAAGGCCTAAGTAGTTAATTCTTTCCACACCTAACTTCACACATTAAATTGCACATTCTATGTCAATAGCGATTTTATGTAAATAATAAAACATGTTCCATGTTAGCAATGGCTTTCAATATTTAAGCTGTTAAGAGAGTTTGGGCCTCTTATACAAAGAATAAATGATTTTTTTTTTTTTCTATTATTTTCAGGCCTACATTTACATGCGGAGGAGTTGTATCTGGAGAGTCAGGGTTTATTGGGAGTGAAGGATTTCCTGGCGTCTACCCACCAAACAGCAAGTGTACTTGGAAAATCACCGTAAGAATTTTTAATACCACAAAATCAGTGCTGAAGACAATGAACAGCTATTTGTTGTTAAACTGTGTTTTACATGGGATAACATTATGTGTAATAATTAAGTCAGTAACTCAAAGTAGCTCAACTATCTGGAGCTTTTAGGATTGATATAGTATTGATAATAGTGGTTGAAACAGAACTGGCCTTGCCTCATGTCAGAAGCAAATTTTCATTGACTTCTCTGATGCACCTCTAATTGTTTTAAATTAACCCACTTACAAGCAAACATCTTTCCTTCTGTCGTTGTGGAAAGCAATAGTGAGTTCTAGCAAAGAAAAGATTTGAGGTGGCGAGTATGAAAAGCAAAACTTCTTGGCAAGAAGACATATAAAAATGTTTCAATCAAATCTAAAAAAATTCAGGCAGGTTTGCTTGAAGTGTGCTGCTAGCAGTGTTCTGCCAGCCAGGACATCTGGAGTCTGTCATACAGCAGGCTGACAGCAGTAGGGAAGTGTTACATTTATAAATGACTATGTGAAATGGAACCATGTGGTACCATTGATATTTTGATGCTGAAATGAGACTGTGGGGCAGAGATGATAGATTCATGGACAACAGATTCCATGAAACAACTAGGACTAAATACTCCTGTTCTGGATGTCCTTATCCACAGACTCAGAGAAGGTGATATGAGTGAATGATTACTCTTCCTCACATCTGCACAAATTAAACCCTCTGAAACTGCCCACTAAATTTCCTCTTTTTTAGACACAGTGCACCAAGAACTCTTCTGACATTTGGGCCTACAGTAAAAATCAGAAGGCATAAAAAATAAGTTAGTCTGTGTGTTGACAGGATCACTAAAGACAACTTCAGTTGAAAGACTGCATCACAAGCTAGGTGTTGGCAGGAGAATAGGATGTCACAGGGTAATTGTTTCCTGCTACTATAGAGATGCTGACGCAGAGCAGGAGACATTGATCTGTTTACAATGTTCAGTTTAAAACAACTCTCATACCAAATGAGTGATGTGATTTTAATAGTTTGATCTGAAAGATCCCAGTGAAGCTGCAGAGCTGCTTTCTGCACCTTTCTGTTGTGTTATTATTGGGGCCTAGTTAGAGGTTACCTTTGATCTGTGTCTGACCTCATCCAGAAGAGGATGTGAAACATGGTGCATGCCCATAAACTTGCTTCCTTGCTATCAAGGGGCTGAGGTGACAGCAATCAGCATAGCCCACCTTGCAATCTGAAGAGCACATGCAAATTGCATTTGGAATCATACACACATGCCTTAAATAAAAGGGAAAAACATACAAAGTTAGTTTACCAGTATAACTCAGATGTTCAAAAGTTCAAAATTTAATCTGGAGGGAAATAATAATTTTGCTTATAACAGCATGAAATTTTTACCACTAAAAAACTTAGATAACAAATGGAGGCAGCACTAAAGAAGCAATTACTGAATCATGCCATGTATCTGCCCTTCATATATGGGGGGTAGAGGGACAAGAGAACAAATTATTGTACTTAGAAAGTCTGTACAGAGTGGTTTAATTGCAGGCTTTATGTGGCTGTTGCTTACAACATCCAGGTGAGGCTGAGCATGGTGAGAAGCATTACTACAAAGCTATGGCAGAGCTGTGTCTGCACTTGAGCTTCCTTGACAATGGCAGGAACTCGATGGCTTCTCTCATTTCATGAACACCCTGACTTCCAGTTTTCTGCTGTGCTGCCATTTGACTGCCTCCTGCTTGTCCTCTGTAGTTTGCCCAAAGCCAGAGAAGGGCTGCACAACTGGAGTAGTCCAGGCTTGCTTTTGCCTTCAGCCCATTTAACCCCTGTCTTATTTAACAATTATGTTCACTAAGCCAAGCTGATTTCTTTTCCCCCATCAACTGTAGAATGCTCAGTGTCTTTTGGGTGTGCAGGAAGGATGTAGGGAAGGCAAGGACTAATAAACCTGCAAGACTAAGCCTGTACTCTCTTTAAAAAGACCATGGTTTACCAAACTGTGGCAAAGTGGTACACTCAAGGGTCTGAATTTATACAACAAAATCCTTTCACCAAATATTGCTGAGGCTTAGAATAGCTTGCAATAGCACCCAAATAAGAAAGCCAGTTATATTACCATAAAGAAATACTCTGTAGTTACTGTTAGTCTTCCTCATTTAGCATCTGATTTTAGAAAGTGACTAAGACATTTGCCTGTCCGTTTTAGCCAAGGGCTGTGAACACCTTTCTGAAAACATTCTGCTAATGCAGGAGCTGACAAGTCTGCAAGACTGATAGAGACATTGATTCACTTTGTGTCTGGGTCAGAAGAAGCATGAAGCTCTTGTTTTCTCAACTACAGGATCTCATCAGCTGCACAAGAAATGCAGAAAGGCAGGCAGAATGAGAGCTAAATCGTTCTTTAGAGGAAAATAGGTTTAGAAAACATTACGCGCAATACAGATAAAGCAATGTAGCATTCAGGTATCATCTGAAATCTTTCCAACTAGTTTGCTAAAGCTGGAAGAGTCTAACTCAATTATGGCTCTGTTATTTCAAGAGACTGGGACTTTTTCAGCTGGCTAAAGAAAACAGCTTCTCTATTCTAAGAGCTCTAAGAAGTGTTCAGCACATGTTTGTGGTTCTATTACAGCCTTGGCAGA